AGAGGAAGAAAAGTAGAAGGAGGAATGAGGCTTAGGAAGAGGAGGAGGAGGAAGGAGAGGAAGAGGAGCAGGAGAAGGAGGAAGGAGAGGATTAGGAAGAGGAAGGAGAGGAGGAAGAAGGGGCGTGCATAAGCGTACCAACGTGCCTACCCTCCCTGTCCTAATGTTCCCTTTTTATTTGTATCCATTTCATGTATTAATAATCATGTTTATACTTATATTTGTATATAACACATGCTCGGCAAAGAAATAAATGAAATAAGTAAAGAGAAGGAAGAGGAGGAGAAAAAAGTCCCAGTTTCAACCAGTTTCCTTGGCTTTGGAAGCCCGAAGACCTCCCAGCCAGCCAGCCTGCCTGCCTGCCTCCTCCAGCTACACCCTCTGCCTCTCAGCCTAGATTTCTTGACAAACCAGCTTAGCGGCTTCGAAGCCCTGAAAGGAGAACAACAACACAAACACCTCAACCCAACGTCTGCTAACGCAACCCGCCTTCCCCTGGGGTGGCATGTGTGTGTGACTCTGTGTGTGTGTGTGTGTGTGCATGTGGCTTGTCACGGCCCCGTTGAAAGGAACACCTATATCTGGCCATCTCATCCACAGCCGGGCCCCCGGATGAGATCCCCCACGGCAGAGGCGAGCAGGGGGGGGGAAGTGGGCCCGTGCCCCCTGGTGTCCTCTCCCCCCCTCCCACACACACACACAAAAACCCCTGCGCTGCTGGCTTCCGCGATAAACCAGATGCACCCAGCAGAGCCTCTCCGAGCTCCCACATCCGTCCACCGACACGATAAAGAGGCCGAAAACGCTTGTAACAGAGATGGGAGGCAGCTGGGGAAGAAGGCACGGAGGGAGGGGGAGGGCTGGGTTGAGGGGGGAGGGCGGGGGTTTGCAGAGGTTGAAGAAGGCAAAAGGCAATTACCAAACTCGGGCCGGTCCAGTAGAGGAAGAAGCCTTGAGGATCCACGCGGAGAGTCACCAGGGCTCGGCTGGTTGGTTCCTGGAAAGGGAGGTGGGAGAAATGAGAAAGTCAAAAATCTGATGGCAACCTAAGCAACGAAGATGTTTAGGGGACTGGAGACTAAAACATAGGAAGAACGATTGCAGGAACTGGGCCTGGCGAGTCTAGGGAAGAGAAGGACCAGGGGAGACAGGAGAGCATCTTCCAATATTTGAGGGGCTGCCCCAGAGAGGAGGGAGGGGGTCAAGCTATTCTCCAAAGCACCCAAAGGCCAGACAAGGAAGAATGGATGGGAACTGATCAAGGAGAGATTCAACCTGGAAATAAGGAGAGATTTTTCTGACAGTGAGAACAATCAACCAATGGAACAGAAGTTGCCCTCAAGAGTTGTGGGAGCTTCATCACTGGAGACTTTCAAGAAGAGATTGGACTGCCATCTGTCAGAAATGGTGTAGGGTCTCCTGCTTGGGTGGGTGGGGTTGGACTAGATGACCTGCAAGGTCCCTTCCAACTCTGCTTATCTGTTATCTGATGTTCTTTTTCTTGCACAGTAGGGATTATTGCTAGTATCAGAAGGGGGGGATGATAAGTAGAGAGATATAGATGATTGATAAACACATGATTGATAGATGATAGAAGATAAATAGACAATAGAGAGAGAGAGAGAGAGAGAGAGATTAAGTTAAGAGAGATGGATGGATGATAGTAGATAGACAGACGGATGATATAGACTGACAAACAGATGGATGGATAGATACATAATTGATAAACAGATCATTGATAGATGATAGAAGATAGATAAGATGATAGATAGAGAGATGTTAGACAGATAGAGAAATTATATAGATAGACAGATGATAGAAATAAAACTTTTGTGCACATTTTAAAAAACTATTTTACAGTTTTACTTCCTTTTCAAAATGGTGAACAGAGCATCACTAAAAAAAAAAACAGTTAATATGCAGCTTTATGTTCACGTAATGACTTTGAGCCCGTCATTCTTCCTGGCCCAGCCTACCCTGTAGGGCTGTGGTGGAGAAAATTTAGAGGGGGGAAAAAATGAAGATTTTAAAAAAGACACGGGAAAGAAATACACTTCATGCTTACTGACAAAGTCCTCAGCTTACGACTGCATTTCCATTGCTAGGCAAGATTTCCCCAGCCCAGCCTGCTTTAAGAGGGGTGGATTTCAACTCCCAGAATCCCCTAGTCAGCACACTTTCACAAGGAGTTCTTGGAGCTGTCCAGACATAGTCCACGCATCTTGGAAGTTGCCAAGCGTGACAAAAACTTATCTAAAGCAATGCAGAAGAATTTGGAGATCTGTCTGGCTTCTGCCCTGAAGATATTTTAAAAGTCCTTGAAAAACCTGGCTTATCTCCCAGGCCTTGGTGCATGATAGCGGCTGTGCCCGTTAGGGGTCTTTTTGCATATTTTTGCAAAAGTTATGTAAATGTTATTATTTTTTTTCCTAGACGTTTGTGACTTTTTTCTCTCTCTGCTGTACCATCTTTACTTTTGAAAGGATAGGCTGCCCGGAGATGTTTGCAAACCAGGCAGCCTCTAAATTTAATAAATGGAAAAAAACAAAACAAAATAAAACTTAAGAAATTCTTTGATGGGCGGAAACCTTTCCTCCCCCACCCTAGAAAAATCTCTAAATGATGTGCAAGTTCTGCAAAAGCAGAACAAGATTGTAGCCCGAACTTGGCAAATTTAAGACTTGTCAACTTTCAACTCCCAGAATTCCTGAGCTCACATGACTGGAGGGGGAATTCTGGGAGTTGAAGTCCACAAGCCTTAAAAGCTGTCAAGTTTGAAGACCCCCCTGTTATAGCCCATCACTTCTTGGGGGAAGAACATCCCTCCTGGAGGACCATGTCTGGTGGGGGTTGTTAGGGATAACATTGTTTTACCCTAACTGTTTTGGGTAAAGATAATAAAATGATGAATCATGGTTTGTCAGATAAAGTGTATGTGACTTTAAGCTAGAGGAATGTAATTAAGGGTGCAGCTGTAAAAGTACTATATAAGCAGCAAGGCATTCTCTGGCTCTTACTGGCTGGCTTATTTGAAGACTGCATTCTTGCTGGATCGGGGAGGAGAAGAAGTGTTGGATTACTTTGAAGATATTTCTCAATGGAGAGAAGATAAGTTTTGGACAGATTTATTATATGTGTACTGACACTGGCTATTCGACATGGACTTTGCAATTAGAGTATCCTCGACAAGACTTGACTGAATTTGGTATTTGACTAATGGACTGTTTATAATGACTATGCTATAATTCTTAAATGGAATAAATTATAATTTTTGATAGCACAAGCGTATCTGTATTTTTACTGCGTGTTAACTAGAAAACTTATCTCACACATTTACCTGTCTTCCTATCTGACTTCGCTGCGCATTCTGTTTAGTTTGTTTTCCTTAACACCCGTTGGGGAATCCAGGCTTAACAGGGGTTCCATGTTATCATTTATTCCTGTGCAGTTTTATATAATTGCATCTTGTTTTCAGTCAACTCTGAAGCTGGCCTGACTTGAGGTCATCTTGAAGAGGCTTCTTTTCAACGAAGCTGTGCTAATCATCTCTTTGCTTTTTTGACTTTCCTTAATTGTGGCCATTTAAATGCCCCTTTCAAGGTTTGGCAAACGCTGCCCAGCCCTTCACCTGCGATGCGCAGGGAAATTAGCAAGTCCTGCAATTTCTCGGATTCTCTTTGGCTCGCTTTTAAACGTCCATTTCACTTCTTCGTGCACTTCCTCTGCTAAAGCAATAATGACTTAAAAAGTGAAAATTCTTGGATAATGTATCACTGGGCGGTTGGCAGGCTAAAGTAGGGTCAGGAACTTTAAAAAGAAAACAAAAAGTTATACGGAAGACTAAATTCCACAGAAGGAATGAATCCCACTGTCATGGGATCTGTAAAGACTCTATACATTTATCTTAACGACGCTTGTAAGGAATCGTTGTGATATGTGGGAATGATGGCTGGAGTTTGAAATACAGCATGCTGTTTTTAAGATGATGATTATTGCCTTTATTGCCAGAGTACAACATGTATGCAATGAGATTGGCTAAAAATCAAAAATCAAATTAAAAATCAGGGTGAATATGCTAGGATCTTTTCAAGCTATCAAATTTTATTCAAGGGACAATCTTCCTAAATATTGGAAGACTGCTATCGTGTCTGTGTGTGTGTGTGTGTGTGTGTGTGTGTGTGTGTATGTACGTATATGTATTCACACACACACACGTATACATGATAGCAGTCCTGTGTGTGTCTCTGTGTGCCAATATTTGCAGTGTTCCAGTATTTGAGGGGCTGCCCCAAAGAAGAGGGAGTCAAGCTATTCTCCAAAGCACCTGAGGGCAGGACAAGAAGCAACAGATGGAAACTCATCAAGGGGAGAAGCAACCTAGAATTAAGGAGAAACTTCCTAACAGTGAGGACAATTAACCAGTGGAACAACTTGCCACCAGAAATTGTGGGTGCTCCAGCCATTTGTCTGGAGTGGTATAGGGGTTGGACTAGAAGACTTCCAACTCTGTTATCTTGTTAAAATCAGATTCCCCCGTGCATTGCACCAAACAAACAAACCAGCCAACCCTCAAAAGACACTCTTAGGATGCTCTTCTGCAGCTGGAAGATTTGACAGCTTGCAAACTTTCACTTTAAACCTAAATGCAGCCAGGAAATCCAGTCTATCTTCGGCCGACTTTCCTAGAAGCGACTTGGGGAGATTTGGGGGACTTGGGAGGGAATCTTTTCTGGTTTCCAATTCTTTGAAAAGATACGGTGGCTGCTGAAATACCATTGAGAGAGAGAGAGAGAGACAGAGAGAAACAGAGACAGAGAGAGAGACAGAAACAGAGACAGAGAGACAGACAGACAGAAACAGAGACAGAGAGAGAGAGAGAGAGAAACAGAGACACACAGAGAGAGAGAGACAGACAGAAACAGAGACAGAGAGAAAGACAGACAGAAACAGAGACAGAGAGACAGACAGACAGAAACAGAGACAGAGAGAGAGACAGAGAGAAACAGAGACAGAGAGAGAGACAGACAGAAACAGAGACAGAGAGAGAGACAGAGAGAAACAGAGACAGAGAGAGAGACAGACAGAAACAGAGACAGAGAGAGAGACAGAGAGAAACAGAGACAGAGAGAGAGACAGAGAGAAACAGAGACAGACAGAAAGACAGACAGAAACAGAGACAGAGACACACGCAGAGAGAAACAGAGACAGAGAGACAGAGAGACAGAGACAAACAGAGACAGAAACAGAGAAACAGAGAGAGAGACAGAGAGAGAAACAGAGACACAGAGAGACAGACAGACACACACACACACACACACACACACACACAGAGAGAGAGAGAGAGAGAGAGAGAATGTCACACATGCCATCAAGGGCTAGGAGCATCCCCAGGGCAGACAAAACTTCTTCCCCAGCCAAGATTTCTAATGCAAACCTCGTCTCTTTGCACGCAAGAGCCACGAAAACCGAGCAGCAAGTCGATGAAAAGATGTTTAAAAGGGAAGGGGGGGCGGGCGTATGTTGCAGATTAAAGTGATTTGAATCGGCCTCTTTGCAAAAACAAAAACACCACCCTTTCCACCAGATTTCACTTGCCAGCTCTCATCGGGCACACCCGGAGCGTGACCTCGCACTCGCTCCCTGCCCTCTGGACCGTTATCTCTGTGGGAATATTGGCAGGGGAAGAATAATTCTTGCTCTGCCTGCAGACAATAAAAATGATAACTGAAAGGACAAAGGATTCTGAAAGTGTCAGAATCTATTTGCTGAGGCTGAAAGGGAAGGGGCAGGGGTCTCTCTGTTGTGGACCCCTCCTCTCTAAAGACAGGAGCTGGTGTGCAAGGGAGGGAAAGGAGACCACCAAGCAGCCTATTTTAATTCCCAACAGGTGTGGAAGGAGTTGCAAAACAAGAGGGGCCTTGAAAGCTCTTGAAACATTGACCTCCTGCTGTAAATAAGACCCCCAGACCCCCTACTAGGTAATGTGTCAGGACCACC